TTAATACCTATAATGAATAAGAAACTTCAGAAATAATAAACATTCCTTGCTTCAGATATTGTATTCAAACACTCAAGAAGAAGGAGAATTATATTGTTCTGTAATATTTTTAGAAAATTTCTTCAGTTCAAATTTCAAGAATTCATCATTTCTTGAACAGTTGTTAGAAACATAAACACACAAGAGAGACCAACATCTGATCAGGAAAGGAATGTCCTATTTTTTTTAATTTATTTTAATTGTTGTTTAAGTACAGTTTTCTGCCTTTTACTTCCATCCCAGCCCACCCACCCCCAGGGCTCCCCACATCCCTCCCATTTCCACCCTGCTTAGTTTTTGTCCATGTGTTCTTTGTACTTGTTCCTGTAAACCCTTCCCCTTTTCCCCTGAAATTAGGAATGCCCCATTTTTTAATAAAAAATTTAGGCATGTCGTAAGTTCCCAATTAAGAACTGCAACTAAAGATGCCCAATCAACTTTGATCCCTGGTTTAAAAAAAATGACAAACATTAATCTAATCTCATTTTCCTCTTTAAAAAAAAGCACAGCCATGGCTGGTGTGGCTCAGTATATTGAGTACGGGCTGTGAACCAAAGGGTCACGGGTTTGATACCCAGTCAGGGCACATGCCTGGGTTGTGGGCCAGGCTCCCAGTAGGGGACATGCAAGAGGCAACCACACATTGATATTTCTTTCCCTCTCTTTCTCTTTCCCTTCTCCTCCCTCTAAAAATAAATAAATAAAACCTTTACAAAAACCGCACAAATCACAATACTTCCTTCTGCCCCTTCACTATACAGAACATTTTAAAATTGATGAAATAAATGTAGGTCCTAACATCACCTTATGACTTTAAAATGATAAATTCAGTGATGGAAATCATCCCAGGGTTTTGAAAAATAAGTAGTAAAATTACAAAATCTCTGAATCAAATATAAAAAATATTATAAAATGGCTGTGGTACTGTTTGGAAAAACAGAAGAAAATTGAATAAACTTTTACTTATTTTTATTTTTTTATTTTGTTCGAGTACATTTGTCTCCATTTTCCCACCACCTCTTAACCCCACCCCATTCGGCACAACCTCCCACCCTCAATCTTACCTTCCTTTGGCTTTCTCCATGTGTCCTTTATATGTATTTCTTGATGGCCCTTCCCCTTCTTTCCCCCATTATACCCTTCCCCTCTGGTTACTGTCACTTTGTTCTTAATTTCAATGTCTCTGGTTCTATTTTGCTCGCTTGTTTGTTTTGTTAATCAGGTTCCACTTATAGGTGAGATCATATGGTATTTTTCTTTCATTGCCTGGCTTATTTCACTTGCATAATGCTCTCCAGTTCCATCCATGCTGTTGTGAAGGGTGGGAGCTCCTTCTTTCTCTCTGCTGTATAGTATTCCATTGCATAAATGTATCATAGATATTTGATCCACTCATTTACTGATGAGCACTTAGGTGTCTTCCAGCACTTGGCTATTGTAAATTGTGCTGTTCTGAACATTGTGGTGCATAGGTTCTTTGGATTGATGTTTCAAGATTCTTAGGATATAATCCCAGCAGGGGAATTACTAGGTCAAAAAGCAGTTCCATTTTTAACTTTTTGAGGAAATTCCATACTGTTTTCCACAGTGGCTGCTCCTGCCTACATTCCCACCAACGATATACTAGGGTTCCCATTTCTCCACAACCTTGCCACCACTTACTCCTTGTTGATTTATGATGGCCGTTCTGACTGCTATGAAGTGGTATCTCATAGTGGTTTTAATTTGTGTTTCTCAGATGGCTAGTGATGCTGAGCATTCTTTCATATGTGTCTGGGCCCTCTGTATGTCCCCTTTGAAGAAGTATCTCTTCAGGTTCTTTGCCTATTTTTTAATTGGATTATTTGTTTTCCTTGAGTGGAGTATGTGAGTTCTTTATATATTTTAGAGATCAAACCTGAAATACATAAAGTTATTTTTAAAGTTATACATATGGAGTTAATTTCCAGTTTTTTCAAGATAACAAAAGATATAAATCAATGGTAACTCAAAATGTATCTTTGATTCCATACTTTTGTACTAATGTTACCAAACAAAAAGTTTGGCTGCCTGCCACCATAAAATCCAAACTTGTGAGGCAGATGCTGGTGGGAAAGGAAAGAGGTTTTATTCAGGTGCTGTGTGATCTGGGAGAATGGAGAACTCCCAGGCTCATAGCTCATCTCCTATGCAAATCCAAAGAAAAGGCAGTAGAGTTCCTGCACCAGCTGAAAGCAGAGCCCTTTGAAACCCACAAGCACTACTCAGCAGTTGTAGGCCCCATCCACGTAGCGTAGCTTGTTCCCCTCTGCTGTTCATTTCCAGCTTCTTCTTGGGACCTGGGTGTGGAGCCAGCACACACCTGGGCCATGCAACTGCTAGGACTGCAGGGTTGTGTACTCCCAAGGAAAGAGCATGTCTGCGCACAAGTGAAGGCATCACGAGGTCAACCAGAGAGAGGGAGAGAGATTCCTTCCTGGGGGCCATGGGCCACATGGAGAGAGCAGCTGGCACCACATGAGTCTAGGTCATGAGGAAGAGAAGAAGAGGGTGTTTCTTTGTTCCCCTGGGATTATATTAGCTTGTGTGTGTGATGGCCCAGGTGCCTTCTCAAAATGACCAATCAACTTCCCAAACTTTTGCATGCTTCTGGTGGGTCCACCTCCCTTTCAGTCCCTTTTCTCCACAGGCTGGACTGATAAACCTCTTTAGTCCATTACTGCCCCCTGCCACTGTTTTGACAACTCTGGCACATGTGCCTGCTTCTCCCACCCAGTTCTCACCTGTAACCTGGGACCTGAGAACTTCCCCCTTGGCTGACAAGGGAAACTCAACTAGCTCCACTGACCTTCGACCCTCTAGTAATGCTATTTATTACTCATCTACTTAAATTCTCTCTCAACGTATGTACTAAATCTTGATGTTTTTCCCTCATTAAGTTTGAGAGAATTCTTCAGGTATTACCGATATTAACCTTTCATTATACTTGATACAAGCATTTCCCCCAGTCTGTTGTATTATTTTTTCACTATGAATAAATTTTAAATTTTATATATTCAAAAATTTTTCATATAAAATGACATCAAGGTCATTCTATTATTAGTAAAAGAAATAGAAATTATTCCTCTTCTTCCTACCATCTAGAAGATTTTGTATGTTATAATAATTTATTTTTTGAAAATTCATTATATCTCCCCTGTGAATACTATTTGGCTCGTGTTATCCATATGCAAGAATTAAAAAAACCTACTGATTTCATCAAAATTAGTTTAGCTGCAGAAGCAGCCTGTGTTAATCTTATCTCACACATATCATGCATAGTAAATAAAGTGTCTATTTGTTTTATTAGCTAAAGATTATTGCTCAAAATTACCTTGTTGATTAAATAAAGTGAGGATTTACTGATTTAAATTTGTTTTCATGTGCACATATTTAGTGACAGTTGTTATGAGTAATTCTGCCCCAGCTAGTGTGGCTCAGTGGATTGAGCACTGGCCTAGGAACTAAACAGTTGCCAGGTTGATTCCCAGTGGGGCATGTGCCTGCATTGTGGGCCAGGTCCCCAGTGAGGGATGCATAAAAGACAACCACACATTAATGCTTCTCTCCCTCTCTTTCTCCCTCCTTTTCCCTCTCTCTAATAAGAAATAAATGAAATCTTTAAAAAATAATATGAGTAATTCTGCTTTTTTAGCTATTTCCTTCTAGAGTTTTCTTTTTGCTATGTGTATTTATTATCTTGATTTTCATAGTAACATTCAAAAGAAGCTCCGACTACCTATTTTGTAAGTAAATGTTTCATTTCTGAATATTTTAAAATTTGCAATAAATTATAATGGTGGCACAGAGTTTGCACATGCCCTGTACGTCCAGTTTCCCTTATTGCTAACAGTTATGTAACAGCAGTTATGTAAGTGGTACATTTGTCAGAGGGTGAACTGGTCTTGATATACTATTGCTAAACAAAGAATGAGTTCCATTCAGACCTTCCTAATATTCACCTAATGTCCTTTTTCTATCCATCCTCCTATCCATTACATTTAGTCATTCTGTGTCTTTAAGCTCCTTGGCTGTGACAGCTTCCTTATCATTTTTTAATGTAACAGAAATTGTGAGTAGCTAGATATCAGAACATTAAGACACTAGTTAATTATGTTGTTATTTTGACATAAAATATTGTGGTATGGTTTTGAATAATAAAGGGGGAGTAGTGTATTAAGTGATATTCACAAAAAAAGAGGAGAAAAGGACCCTATTTAAAAGCAGAGATTTATCTGAGACATCCACATATATCAAAAGAGAAATATTACTAGCAAAACTTTATCATTATTGAAGCTAAGCATATGATGATTTATCATAGAATTTTTTAGAACACTCATATTTCATAATTAAAGATTATATATAAATACATATAATGTCATACATATATTTTTATGTTTGTGTGTGTACATATCTATGTTCATAAACATAAAAATACTCCTCTATAGTTTCAACCTACATATTACAGCATACATAGTGCCACTCAAACTTATAATAGCATGTATACAGGATGATTAACATGTTTATTTAATTTCTTCTTTTTTTCGAACAGTACTTTTAACCCTTCTTAAATTACTCATTTATTGCTAATCAAATTGTTCATGCAACACCTCTGTAAGCAACAATCCCTTTGAACTGTTCTGTTGTATTGACCTGCATAGTGCCCTTCTAAACCATTGTCTTACAGGTTCTTGCCAGGATGTGCCTGTAGGACACATAAAAATCTTTTATATAATAAAAGTATTGAATGTCTCCAGCCCTTAATACACTGAGCACCCACCTAGTAAATCACAAAGACAACCACCAATCACCAGGCAGGGTCTCAATGTCAGCCAGTAAGAATGGGGCTGGAGTTATGCTAAACTTTTTTACTTTTGGTTCAGAAAAAGATTATGTAATTTTACCATTTGTTTTTCAAAACTCAGGTACACTTTTTACCAATCTATTCATCACTTTGAAGTCATTAAATTTATTTCTCCACTTAGTAAAATGCCTGTGTAGTGAAGGGGCAGAAGGAAGTACTGTGGCTTGTGCTGTTTTTTTTTTAACAGGAAAATGAGATTAAAATAACGTTTCTCATATTTATCTCGGGTATCAAAATTGATTGGGCATCTCTTGGCTCAGTTCTAAATTGGGAGCTCAAGACATGCCTAAATTTTTCACAGGAAGCAGGACGTTTCTTCTCTGACCAGGTGTGTGTCTCTGTGTTTAAATGTTTTTAAGAACTATTATTCAAGAAATGAGGGATTCTTGAGATTTCAACCTCAAGAAAACTTCTGAAAATATTTATGTAACAAAGTAATCTTAATTGTTTCTTGAGTGTTTAAATAGAATTACTGAAGGCAAGGGATGCTTATTACTTATGAAGCATACTATTTCTTAATTCAGTGAAAGATAATTAGGATAAACATTAAAGAATCAAAAGTTATGGTGTTTCTATAAGATGAAGTCTTGTCTCTAAACAAAACTACAAGAATGAATCTTTACATTTTGGAAAAAAATTGAATTTCAATTTGAATTCTCATTTTTATGAGAGAATTTTGTGCTTTTGTGCAAGGTACTTAGTTTATGTAAAGCACAACTTTAATTACAAAATAAAATAAATTATATCTCTTGCTTTCAACTATTACATTTTAACATGAAACATTTTATTTTATAATCTAAACACTATATATATCTATAAAATAGTTGTATTTTCCGAGAGCTCTTCTAGACAGTGTAAAATGTTACTATACAAACCAATTTAAGATTACCTTTGTAAATGATATGCTGAAAGCAATTATCACTAAATTAAATAAACAAGTATAAATAGAAACCTATGAGTGTTGTCACTCAATATCAGTGATGAAAAGTGTGTTTCTATTAATTATCTTAATGTAGGCAAATTTTAAAACTCATTATATATTTTTACCATTTTGTAACCAAGATAAATTTAAGAAATTATTTACCTGGCTTTGTATTTTCTCATTTTCATTCATTCATTTTTAAATATATTCAAGGAGGAAATTTCTCTGTATTCTCATTTTCCAATAGAAAAATAATAAGTGATTTACTTTATTCAGTAACAAATAATTTGGATTAATTTCTGTGGTAGATGAGAATAATTAATTATATGATGGGGTTGGTCCGAGATTGGTGGGCTCATCACAACATGTGTATGTTCTTTCCACGTAAATATGTACTTTGGCCTATGTATAATTTCTTTTTTTTAATTTTTATTTTATTAATTATGCCATTACAGTTGTTCTATTCCCCCTCTTCATTCCCCTCCACCCTGCACCCCCCACCCCTACCATTACCTCCCTTTAGTTTATGACCATGTGTCTCAAGTTCTCCAGATTCTATATTTCCTATACTATTCTTGTCCCCCCTATCTATTTTCTACCTACCGTCTATGCTACTTATTTTCTGTACCTTCTCCCCCTTCTCCTTTTCCCACTCCCCTGTTGCTAACCCTCCATGAGATCTTCATTTCTATGGTTCTGCTCCTGATCTAGCTGTCCTTTTAGCTTGCTTTTGTTTTAGATGTGGTTGTTAATAACTGTGCATTTGCTGTCCTTTCACTGTTCATCTTTTTTATCTTCTTTTTCTTAGGTAAGTCCCTTGAACATTTCATATAATAAGGACTTGGTGATGATGAACTCCTTGAATTTGATCTTATCTGAGAAGCACTTTATCTGCCCTTCCATTCTAAATGAAAGTTTTGCTGGATAGAGCAATCTTGGTTGTAGGTCTTTGGATTTCATGACTTGGAATACCTCTTCCCAGCCCCTTCTTGCCTGTAAGGTCTCTTTTGAGAAATCAGCTGACAGTCTGATGGGAACTCCTTTGTAGGTGACTGTCTGCTTATCTCTTGCTGCTTCTAAGATTCTCTCCTTCATTTTAATCTTGGCTAATATAATTATGATGTGCCTTGGTGTGTTTCTTCTTGGGTCCAACTTCTTTGGGACTCTCTGAGCTTCCTGGGTTTCCTGGAAGTCTATTTCCTTTGCCAGATTGGGGAAATTCTCCTTTATTATTTGTTCAAATAAGTTTTCCACTGGTGGCTGTTCCTCTTCTCCTTCTGGTACCCCTATAATTTAGATATTGGAGCGTTTAAAGATGTCCTGGAGGTTCCTAAGCCTCTCCTAATTTTTTTGAATTCTTGTTTCTTTGTCCTTTTCTGGTTGGCCATTTTTATCCTCCTTCTGGTCCACTCCTTTGATTTGAGTCCCAATCTCCTTTCCATTACTATTGGTTTCCTGTGCATTTCCATTCATTTCAATTAGTTTAGCCTTCATATGTTCCTCTAATTTGTGACTAAAATCAACCAGTTTTGTGAGCATCCTGATCACCAGTGTTTTGAACTGTGCATCTGAAAGTTTTGCTATTTCTTTGTCACTTAGGTTTATGGGCTCTGGGGCTTTGAGATCTTCTTGAGACATTTTTGGTCTGTTCATGCCTATTAAGTATGAGGAGCAGAGCCTTAGGGGTGGGGCAGGGCCTCCAGGGCGGGGTTGCTGGGTTATGACACTGTATGTGGGGGCGGGGTCAGAGCCAGGAAATGGTGACTGTCTCTGCTGCCTCCCGTCGCTGGGACCCGCTTGTCCCGTCTCACTGCCCACTCCCTTGCAGGTCTATCTGCACAGGAATGCGCCACCACAGTCAACCTGCCGCCCCTCGCTGGGTACGCCGGTTGCTCACTGGGTCGCTCACTGGGTCCACCCTTTGCAACTCCACACCTGGGATCCGTGGGCCTGAGTCTGTCTGACCGAGTTTTCTTGTGCAACCCCTCTCTGCCAGCTGCTGGTTTCACCCCTTTTACCAGTCAGGCTGAAGAATTCGTTGTTATCGGACTTCCGAAAAGTTCAATTTTCTGTGTTCTGACTATGTTTTCTGTTGCTAATATTTTGTTGTCTCTAAACTTGGTTGTGTGAGAAAGCACTGCATCTCCACCTATGCCTCCATCTTGGTGGAAGTTGACTATCTGGCCTATGTATAATTTCTACATATCCAGAATTTGATGCTAGCATATCAAAAAAGTGATTTGTTCAGATCGACTTACATTCATTTTATATTCATGTCATGTTATGTTAATGTTATATTTAAATCAAGTCTTTGAAAACTTGAAAGCTTATTCTTCCTTGACTTTCTTAACTACCTACAGTAAACACTCCCAATTCGAAGCAGTCTGAAACAGTGACAGCATCGGAATTGGGAGTTAGAAGAACTGAATTAGTGAAACTTTTACCTGTCTCTAGTTTTGATATCCGGGGTAATACAGCATCTAAGTAGTACCTAAGGTTTTATTTTTATGTGAACTAAAGTTATAAAACATGTGATATTTATCTTAGTGGATTTCTATGATACTCAAATAAAATGACATATATTTTAAATGGTTTCTTAAACAAAGTATAATACTAAAAGTATTATAAATTGGTGGTGGCATCATTTTAAAAAAGTAATGCCATATCGGCCACTTCTAAAATTCAATTTCTTTATTCATAACATAATATTTACATCATACATACATTATATATTATAACATTATATAATACACACACAGCTTTAGTTTAACTTTATATCTCAAAGGTAATTAAGATTAACATTTCAGTTATAAAAAGCTTTTACATATTTAATACTTTTTACTGTTTCAAGAAGAGAGCAAAATTATTTTTTTACTTGTTTTGTTCAGATGAAAGATTCTTTGTCTTTACCCTCAAGTTTTAGACTATACTATTTTATTTTTGTGTGTCCTTCACTATGAAGAAAATTAGACACACTAGCCTTTACTAAGTGTTTACTATGTGAATGATGTTGTTGATACTAAGTGCATAGTATTTTATTTCACTTTTAAGAGTAGCCATACTGCAGTGTATTGACTTATTTTCTCCTTCTTTTGTTCCCTTTCTCTTTTTAAATTTTTGTTCAGTTTGTAAAGTTATTAAGGTAGTAAATGTGGCTCTGTAAATTAAACACATCTTTAATTCCCTAAGACCCTATCTTTTCTCTACACAGTTTTTATTTTAATGTTAGATTTAATTCATGGTTATGATGAACTTATGCTAATAGTGCATAAGATATTGCTAAGATATTTTGTTACACAATAAGTATAATTTTATTTAAACTATAAAGTGAAAAAACTATAGTAATGAAATAATATAAAACAAAATTAACTTGATGATATACTTTAAGAGAAAAAGGGTAGAAATGACAAGTTAAACTTTAAAACTGAATGATCACAGAAGCAGAACAGTCATGACTCATACTGGCCTGATTTGTGTTTCTCCAGAAATGAGTGAATCACACAATTATAAATTTAAACTCAGAAATCATGCTACTTCTATACCAGGACAAAAGAAAAGACCTACATTGATCACAAACACATCTGGGGAAAACCGTAAGTACTACGTTCGCCATCTTCAGGTGAAATCGAAAACTATGAGCTCATCAGGGATAAACATTCAGTCTAATTTTGCCGTCATGAGAGAGGCAGAAGTGAGATTAAGTTTGATGTCACTTGTAATATGTGCAAAGTGAGAAGAAAGTGTTGAATGGATGAGCTTTTCACACCCTAAAAGAGGTAAGATAATCACAGCAATGACAACCGAGACTGCAGTTTCTAAGGGCTCACTGAACAGCCAGCCGTCAGGAGGGGCGAGTGGACAGAAGAGAAGAGAAATACACAACACCCGTGAGTGGTGTGTCTTTGAACAGCACGGCGGCAGTGACTTGACTGCGATTCACAGAAGGGCCACTGCGCAGTGGTGAGGATACGCTGTCTGGAAAAATATGATCGAAGATGAAGCCTGAAAAAGATTACACAAAAAGGAAAACTACAGGCTACTGTCACCTATAAGTTTTGATTATATGTGAAAAAATAAATAATCATCAAATTGTCTCAAGAGTTAACACAACGTGTCAGCGGTAAATTTCATTACTTTCAGTGGACTGAAATTTTCAATCATTACAAAAATTTAAAAAGCAAATGCCCTTTGACTCAGTATTTACCCTTTTGGGAATTTGTCCTAGAAAGGTACTAAAAAATATGCATAGGTGTGTATAAAATGTTATTTATATTATTATATTAATAGCAAAAACAAAGAAACAATTTAAATATGCATTAGGAAAAATTGAAAGTCTGTTGATAATAATATTTTGTCCATATAGCAATGAAGCACAATTCAAGCAGCTATTTATAAAAATTTGGCAACTTTACAAGTCATGAAAAGAAAACTCACTAGTATATTTCTTAAGTAAAAATATGATAGAATATTTTATAGTCTCTTAAATATGTTTTCAAGAGGCAATTTAAGAGGAACTGTTTGTACTTATTATTTTATCTTTATGGGAATTTTAAAAATGATAACTATGATTTATTCTAGGGGTGAACTGGGGAACTTGTAAAGAGGAATAGGAGGTAATATTACATTTTATAGTCTTACTTTAAATCATTTACAGTGGACTTATTTTAACTGTTCTGAAAAAAATAATTGAGGAAAAAGCACTGTTATCACCTCCACATAAAAATTGCTCTAACATTTATATTAAACATAAAAATTCCAGAACCCTTCAATCTTTCTCTCATCTCTTTCACTTTTTTCTTTGACAGCATCTCCATTTTTTCTTGCCCGGTCCATTGCTCTAGCTATGGGAATCCATTTCATTGTGATGGTGACCATATGCAGTGCCATAATCATAAACTGTGAGTGATAACAGAGTGGATCGCACTGTTGATCCAACAATCGTGATATATTACTTTAATTAACATTGAGAAGCACACAGCATTAACTAGCAATATCAAGGAAAATATAATGTTTTCTTATATTTTAGCTACTAGTCTAGAAACTTGTTAATTATTTTTATTTGTGTTTGGACTATGTTACAGCTACACAAAACCTTCTAATGATTATGATTACTTTAATAGCATTATTCAATCAAGCAGCTCCAATTTCTTTGAATGGTAAGAGAAAGTTTTCAGATATTATAATTATTTTCATATTTTTAATTCCCACCATCTTCCCACTTTTCCCCTTCCATCAGCCCTCCCCCACGAATCACTCTCTGTGTCCAAGGTCAATGCATATACACATGTATGTTCCTTGGTTAATCTCTTCTACTCATGCTATGCCCTACACCTCGAAGCACAAATTGCATGTATCTGTGTATATGGGGTTTAAGCATGTATCAATGCTTGATACCAAGAAAGTACGTAGATAGATCATATATCATAGAAAGGTACATTTGAAAACTTTATAATTTATTAACCAATGTCACCTCATTAATACATTTAATAAAAAAATAAAGTGTATAGAAAGACAATTCTTATTCACAATTCACTATAGGTTTTTTAAATTTTTATGATATTTTTTACAATAAGAGAATATTTGTAAAAAGTAGAGAAGAGTTAATTGGCATATTTATCAATCTATCTGTCTATAAATAAGTAGAGTTAGGTCATTGGGTAGGACCATAATGTTTTAATATTTGGAATCTTAAAGTTAGATTTAAAAAGTTATATAACCTGTCTATAAAAAATCTACTTAATACTCAGACATGTGGAGAATTAATAATATATTGTCCATTTCCAGAAACTTACTGTGGCCCATGTCCTCAAAACTGGATATGTCATAGAAACAACTGCTACCAATTTTTTAGTGAGGGAAAAAGCTGGCTTCAGAGCCAAGCTTCTTGTATGTCCCAAAATTCCAGTCTCCTGAAGATATATAGCAAAGAAGAACAGGTTAAGTATTGTTTTAATTCATCTTCCTATATGTAGTCCTAACATATTTAGAAATTCTCTGGAACATGAACCTGAAATATCACATAGAGGCACCAGGATTAGATATATGAACCCCAAATCTTTTTGCATTAAAAACAACAAAGCAGTAAAAATAAGAAAAGACAAAAATTTCAGGGACTATATGTATGTTGTTTAAATTGGAATTATGCCAGAGGACAGAATGCATTTTGCAAAGTTCTGGGGAAATAATTAAATGATTATGGTTTTCTCTTCAGTGAAATTCTGAGAACTGACTTTATTTGTGATTTCAAACAGGACTTCCTTAAACTGGTGAAGTCCTATCATTGGATGGGACTTGTACAAAATCCAGCAGATGGATCCTGGCAGTGGGAAGATGGCTCCATTCTCTCTCCCAGTCAGTAAGTCTCTACCAAGAGGTGTCTCCTTGTGGATCTGTCTCTAAGCTATTGCTGTGATCATGAAACTATCACAGTTTCCTTCACACAATACCAGGACATCCCCACATGATAACAGAGTCAGCCAAAAACTCTGAGGGGCTAGATTCAGTACTGTGTGGAGCAGAGCAGCACGTACCCATAATACTGAGTTCCATTAGTTGGCTGCTATGTGCTAAGTACTGTGCAAGGCTGGTCTAATACCTCACTTATGGGACTGATGAGGGGTCTAAAGCAGAGAAGTGTCACATCCATTCTTTTATGAAGTTATTACCAGAGTTGTCGAGATATAATTGGCATCCAATAAAGTGCACATTTTTAAAGTGTACAATTGTGATAAATTTTGACAAATGGATTCATCAAATAAAACCATTAATACCATCAGGATAATTAACATATTTATCACCTACAAAATGTTCTTTTTGCACCTTTATAAGACCTTCTTTATGTCCTTCTACCTTCCTCTTCCTGTCTGCAGGACACTAACCTGCTTTCTGTCACTGTAGATTCATTTGTAATTACAGAATAATATAAATGGAGTTCTGCAGTATATACTGTTTTTATGTTTGGCTTTTTTACTCAGGATATATTTTTGAGATTAGCCACCTCATAGCATGTTTAAAGAGTTTATTTCTTTTTATGCCTGAGAGCTTTTCCATTTATAGGTGTTGCTCAGTATGTTTATTATTTGATATATTGATGGATATTTGGTTAGTTCCCAGTTTTAGATTATTAAAAATAAAGCTACTTCAGAAGTCTTCTGGTCAAGATGGTGGCAGAGTAAAACATGGAACTCATATGCTCCAATAACCAAATCAAAATTACAATTAAACTATAAAGCAACCATTATTTAGAACCACTAAAATCTGTCTGAATGGAAGTCTTATGACTAAAGATTTAAAGAAGAAGCCACATCCAGGCCGTAAGAGGGGTAAAACACAGAATGGGCTGATCCCACACTTCGAGTGTCAGACAAACACTGGAGAGATATCTCAATAGTGGAGGTCCCCCCACTGAGGAGCTAGGGGTCCCTGCCCCACATGAGGATTCTCTGATCCAAGTTTCCCATGCCAGAAAGAGAAGTCCACAAAACTTCTGGCTGTAAAAACCAGTGGAGCTTGTGGTTGAAACAGAGGGTTGCATGATTACCAGTCTTTCCTCTTAAAGGGTCCATCCATGAAGTTATTCTGACTCACTCCCTCTGAGTACCAGTGCTGGAGCAGAAGCTTGAAAGGCACCAGAGAAATACAGGGAGGAACTGAAATGTCCAGCACTGGGAGAAAGGGGACAGCTTTCTCCCAGACAGAAGTGCTGGCAGAGGTCTTTGTTTCCTTAATGCTGAGTTGTTCTCTGAACAAAGCCAGCAGCTAGGCACCATGTCTGAATCTCCATCAACCTGGATCACATTGTTTGCCCTGCCCTAGTGATTCCCTGAGACTCCTCTCCAACAAACTCACGTACCCACCAAAGCTATTTCCAGTGGCTTTTCCATATGAGTGGCCTGTCTTGGCTCGTGCTTCTGACTTATCTAAAATCTCTCTGGGACTTTGCAAAAATCTCTAAAACAAACAGCATCTAGCCTCAGCATAACCTGTAACTCTTGCTAAGTGGCTCCAGGATGGGCACTAGTGGCAGTTGGCCTTGTTGCTGGACTTGGAGGTGAACAGGAAATTCCTGTTCACCTCCAAGTCCAGCACAGGTAGCACATGATTTATAATAAAATGCATTTTTACTTTTACTATCTCAGTTAGCCATGTTTTGCTAATTTATAAATTAAGAAAGTCCAAGCATAGTCCTTATATCTTCTGAGATAATATTATTTCATTGCCTATATTTAAATAAATATTGTTCATCTTTGATCCTTCTGCATTAATGAAGTCATAAGGGTAATTTGTCCTTCTCTCTAATCTAGACTAACCTTGGTTGAAATGGAGAATGGAACCTGTGCGGTTTACGGCTCCAATTTTAAAGGTTACACAGAAGACTGTTTGACTCCAAACACATACATCTGCATGCAGAGGATTGTGTGAAGACTTTATTGCTTATAAAATATAAAGGATTCAAAGGCAAAAAGGCCATTCTCTGAGTGTTCACCATGAAGAAAACATCCAGAAGAAAATTTCACCAATATTGACTTATTTTTCTCACCTGACATGCCACAAACCCTGATCAGCTGCGAACAAAGGCTAAGCCCTTTGTTTCCAAGGGCTTAGCCCACGATTTCCAAACTCACATTTTCCATATTTGTGAAGAAGCTCATTCTCTCCAGGTCACATATATTCTCTGCCTCCTGTGGGTCATATGTTATTCTAATAAAACAGAGAAAAGACTCCAGACTTGTGTTCCGTGTAGAGTCCCATATAGTGACTCGACTTTATTTAAAGCTTTGAAGCATTTGGTGGACTTAAAACATGAATCATTAGACATTTTCTAGGTACTGCTCCAGTTTCATTAGTTGTCTTCAGTCTGTTCAGATGATATGTTTCTTCTTGATTCAGTTTGGAAAATTGTACATTTACAGGAATTTATCCATTTCTTCCATCAATTAAGTTTAAACTGCAATCATTAGAGATGTATGAAATATTTTGCTTCTTATGTTTCCTTAATTTTCTTCTCTTTACACTTTTTATGTCATGTCATTAACTACTAGTCATATATTTGAGTCCTGCTTGCTTATTATGTTTAAATTTAATTGATGGCTTATTTACTACAAAATCTTATGTGAGATTTAGTGTTTTAAAGGTACACATTTTTAGGTAAATAATTTTTTCTTAAATAAAGTAAAAAAAAGGATCCTGTAAAACTTTCAGTATTTCTTCTTTTTTCTTCTTCTTCAACTAAATTTATTGGGGTGAGATTGGTTAATAAAATTATATAGTTTTCAAGTGTACAGTTCAATAAGACATTGTCTGGACATTGCATTGTCAATTCAAACCTCACAGTCAAATCACGTTCTGTCACATATTTGACCCTCTTTACGTTTCTCTACCCCCACCCTCTTGCTTCTGGTAATCAACGTATTGTTTTCTACGTCTATGAGTTTTTGTTTGTTTTTCTTGTTGGTTCACGTGTTGCTTTCAGTTTTATATCCCACATAAGAATGATTCCATCTCCATATACTGTCTTCTTACATACACAAAAACCAGGTTCTCTGAAATTACCATAAAAAAAACCTGACCATCTCATACATGTTTGCAATGATTAGTTAGAGGCAGTGCCAGCTTTCTTTAATTGGGGCCTAGAAGAAAAAAGAATTTCCATTTGAAATAAAATTTATTTCACATATTAATTCTATTATAAAAGTCACTATGCATTATTAAAATATAAAGAAGCATACATTTCTTTGACAGGTTTATTAGTATATAAATAATAAATAATATTTTATTCCATTGAACTGTTATAGAACAATAATGGCAGAGTAAGAAACTCCAAAACACTGCTTCACCAAAAGCAGTGATAAAGCTGATAAAAAACACCTGATTCAAACTTTTCAGAAATCTGGAATCTAATGAAAAACTTCAGCAGCAAGGGCTTGTTTAATGAAGAATAAAGCTTCTCCATTTTCATAAGAGAGCATGTTTTATTTTATTTTTTAACATCTTTTTATTGTTGTTCAGGTACAGCTTTTTGTTTTGCCCCCTACCCCCATCTCACTCCCCCATTTCTACCCCCTCCTTGTTATTGTCCATGTGTCCTTCATAATTGTTCCGGCAAACCCTTCACCCATTTCTGCTATAATCCTCTCCCCTCTCCCCTCTGCTCACTGTCAGCCTGTTCTCAATTTCAGTGTCTTTGGTTATATTTTGCTTCCTTGTTTATTTTGTTGATTAGGTTCCTGTTAAAGGTGAGATCATATGGTATTTGTCTTTCACCACCTGGCTTACTTCACTCAGCATAATGATTTCCAGTTCCATCCATGCTGTTGCAAAGGGTAGGAGCTCCTTTCTCTCTGCTGTATAGAATTCCATTGTGTAAATGTACCACAGTTTTTTGATCCATTCATTTACTGATGGGCACCTAGGTTGCTTCCAGCTCTTAGCTATTGTAAATTGTGCTGCTATGAACATTGGAGTGCATAGGTTCTTTTGGATTGGTGTTTCAGGATTCTTAGGGTATAATCCCAGCAGTGAAACTGCTGGGTCAAAAGGCAGCTTCCAGAGGGGATTGGGGAGGGAATTTCAGGGGAAAAGGGGAAGAGTCTACAGGAATAAGTATAAAGGACACAGGGACAAAAACTAGGGGTGGTGGAAATGGGAGGGAGGTGGGGAGGGCTGGGTGAGTGGGCTGGGATGGTAGTAAAAGACAGAAAACTGTACTTGAACAACAATTAAAATTATAAAAAGAACACAAAAGGCAGTTCCATTTTTAATCTTCTGAGGAAATTCCATACTGTTTTCCACAGTGGCTGCACCAGTCTGCATTCCCACTACCAATGTACTAGGGTTCCCTTTTCTCCACATCCTCACCAGCACTTGTTTGTTGATTTGTTTATGAGGGCCATTCTGAATGGTGTGAAGTGGTATCTCATTGTAGTTTTACTTTGCACCTCTCTGATAGCTAGGGATGCTGAGCATCCTTTCATATGTCTCTGGGCCCTCTGTATGTCCTCCTTGGAGAAGTGTCTGTTCAGGTCCTTTGCCTATTTTTTAATTGGATTGTTTGTCTTCCTGGTGTTGAGTTGCACATTTCTTAAGCCAGGAATGAACCTTCAGTATTGGTGGAATTATATTTTGTGTTTATTATTAAATATTTATCTCAATTATCATTATGTAAATAGAGTTTTTCATTCATTGTCTTCTAATTGCTTTCATTTGTGCAAATGAATGCTATCTATTTTCATATGTTAATTTCACAAAGTGCTAATTTACTACATTTCTTATTATTTAAGTTGGGTTTATCATTGGCTGTCTTATATTATTTAGCTAAATTATGTCACATGGAAATACTAAATTTTTCTTTTAATTCCATATCTTAATCTTTGTATTTTGTGTTTTTTTCTAACTTAATTATATGGGCTAGTACTACCAGAATCAGGATAATAATGTGTAGAGGTAATTGTCATCAATGCCATTTTCCTGATTCTAATGCAGTATTTTTCAAGCATCATGTAATGAAACTAATTATATGCCAGCCTATAACTTAGACATTTACCTCTTAGGCATGTATTCAAGAGAATTGAGGGCATATTTTCAATAATGAGATATACAAAAATATCAATAGTAATTTTATTTATAATGGTCAAAAACTAGGAGACAAATGTTGAACAGCTTTAGAATAGATAAGTAAATTGTAACATGTGGAATACTCTTTGAATTCTATATAACACTAAAAAGAATGAGCTACTTTTTCACACACACACGAATAAATCCCACAGCCATAATATTCAGTGAGAGAAGCTATACATTGATGATAGATAGATAGATAGATAGATAGATAGATAGATGTAGATGTAGATATAGATATCATCTTAAAACAAACAAAAATAATTTATTATATTACACAGCTTCCTAAGTGTGAATACAGGAGCAGCTGAGTGAGGTCCTTCTGGCTCACGGTCTGTTGTGAGGTTGCTAGGTTGGGTTTTGCAGCCTGGGTTTTATTTATCTACAGGCTTGGCCCTGGCTGGAAAAGCTGCTTCCAGGAAGGCTCACTTACGTGGTTGTCAGCAAGAGGCTTCAGTTTCTTGCTAACTGTTCATAGGAGCCCTCAGTTCCTCACCACATGGCCCCCTCCATTGGGTTTCCCATGACATGGTAGCTGGCTTCTCTCAACTCAAGTGAAAGGAGAAAGTGTAAGGCATAATCCACACTGTTTGATATGACCTAGCCCCAAAAGTGATATACATAACTTCTGTCCTATTCCATTGGTAATGCTGACGAACCTGAACACAATGCATTTCATTTTTTCATAAGGGTTAAATTTCATGAGGCAAAGATTATCAGGAACATGTAAGAACCAAACTAGAGGGTCTAAACTCTAGTCCCACATGACTTATGTCTTTCCCACATGCAAAAATGTACACCTCTAAAATCTCATCTCATTATTCCATCACTTCAAAGTCTAAAAGTTCATCATGACTACGTGTGGATGTGAATGAGACTCATCACATGTAGTTCCTTAACTGTAGCTCCTTAGGTACCCTTTCTTTCAATCTGTAGATGTGTGAAACTACTACTAGATTTTCTTCCCTCATATACTCAATACCCAAAGGAGGATAGACTCTTTAGATGTTCTGCTTCAAATGTTTTGTGAAGAATGAAGGGGGGAGAAGTATAAAAGTGTCACTAACTTGTAGAATTCTGAGAGCCTGTTGAACAAATAATGGGACTTTCTTGATCACCACTCAGTCCTACTTTGGTCCCAAAGGAACTCTCCACAATTCTTGGGTCCACCCTGTAGGGTCTTGGTTCTGTCCTCTGAACTCTCCTTCTCTTTTCATAAAAGGTAGCATTTGTTTGTAATTTCTTAGTCTTTGTGGTGTATTTCCTGCTTACAAATATTTTGGGGAACCAAAATTCTCATTAATGTGTGTTTTATGTATGTATATATTTGTATGTCTGTATATGCATGTATATATTTTTACTGTCTGGTTTTTTTTTCAGATCAAGCTGCTTGTGCTTCTGCTGACATATTATTTTTTAATTTAGAGTCTTCAAAAATCTTACTGGGTTCACTCCATTCACAAAAGCCACAACACATTAATCTGTGTAAGCTTCTCTTATGAAGCTTCTGCTAAGAAGCCCGTGGGAACATGCACACAAGCTTGTTAGCAACCTTGTGGTTCAGCCAAGATGATCCATAAAGCACACCCTTTATATGTCCTTTGACTGACCTGAGGCACCAGCTGTGCTCTTCCTGCAACCTCAATAGAGAATTTTATAGTCACGCCCATAGCTTTGCCTTTGGGAAAAGGAAAGCATCTGGGTGCTTTCCTGACAGCACCCAGAATTTGATCTTTGCTTAGAATTCATTTCTTAGTTTTAGACATTTCAAAAAGCTGGGAATCTTCAAAACCAGTCATCTCTGGCTCTATTTTTTTCTAAACTCCTCCCATTAACTACTGTCTCCTATGGCACTGCATTATAAGCACCAGGAAGAAACCAAGCAGCATCTTCAACGCTCTGGCTGGAAATACCTTTAATCAGCGCACCTAATTCATTAGGTGCATTTTCTACTTCCCACATCACTCCAGAAAATAGAGTTGCTAAATAGAAAGAATTCCCCTTACTCCAGTTTGCAATAGCGTGTTTCTCACATCCCTGTCTCCCCTCACTGGAGGTCTTCAGTCTGCAGGACTCCCACATTTCATTCATGGCATGATTAATGGACTCATGTGTTTTAGTGGGTATTTTTCTTTATGGCATTCTTCCCTGCTGGGTACCAAAACCTGTATTTTTTACTTTCTAGTTTTGGGGGGGTTCTTTATTTTTTAAGTTATTAAATGTATTAGGTTGACATTGCTTAATAAAAATTATACAGGTTTCAGGGGTACAGTTCTATAACCCATCATCTGTGTATTGTATTGTGTACTCACCACCCCAAGTCTCCTCCCACCATCACTTATTCCCCTTTACTCTCCTCTAGCTTCCCCTACACCCCTTTCTTTCTGGTAATCACCATATGTTGTCTGTCTGCAAGGGGGGTTTTGTTTGTTTTTGTGGGGTTTTTTTACTTAATTCCTTCACCTTTTTCATCCAATTTCCTCCTCCCCTCCAATAGCTGTCAGTCTGTTCTCTGTATCTATGAGACTGTTTCTATTTTGTTTGTTAGTTTATTTTGGTCTTTAGATTCCATATGTCAGTGGAATCATGTAGTATTTGTCTTTCTCTGACTGGCTTATTCCACTTCGCATAGTACTTTCTAATCTATTGTTATGCAATGCATTATTCTAACACTTAGCAACTTGAAAGAATAAACAGTTATTACATCACACCGTTTTTGAGGGTTCGGAATTCTGAAACGATGCTGCAGGCTGGATCGGGCTCAGAGTCTCTCATGAGGTTTCCGTCAAGTTGCCAGCTCAGCCTCCATAGTCATCTGAGGGCTTGCCCAGGGCTGGAGAGTCAGAGGCTCTCAAGGGAGAGGAAGGGTTCGTGGGCGGCTGTTGGAAGTACTACACTTCCTTGTCGGTGACACAGATGAAGCTTTAGCTCCTCGTCACACAGTCCTCTCAAGGGGGCTGCTCGTGGCTTTCCCCAGAGCAAGTGATCAGGAAGGGAGAAAAGAAGATGACGCCACACTGTCTCATGATCTAGACTCAGAAGTGGCCCACTGTCATTTCCACTGTATTTCACTTGTCACACGGTTCAACCCTGACACAATGTGGGAGAAAAGTATACAAGGGTTTACACACTGGAATGTGGAGATCGTTAGCAGACAGCTTGCAGTTTGGTTCTAACACATACCTTATAGCAGGGGTGTCCAACTCATTTTTACCAGGGGCCACATCAGCTTCACCGTTGCCTTCGAAGGGCCGAAATAATTTTAGGACTGTACAAATGTAACTACTCCTTAACTGTTAAAGGAGTTGAAATTGCATTTGGCCCTTTGAAGGCAACCCCGAGGCTGATGTGGCCCCTGGTGAAAGTGAGTTGGACACCTCTACCTTATAGATTTTCACCTTTTATACTGAAACAGATTATAATACAAAGCATAGCTCTTTTGTATAACAAAATTGAGAAGTATATTTACAACTAGTATGATATAACCTAGAAAAGAATAAGGCAATGTGGAGAGCAGGGTTCATGCTATATTCTCATTTCATACACTTTGCCAAGGGTTGGCAAACTGTGACCTGTGAAGCAAATGTGTCCCACCATCTCTCTGTGTTTGTAAATAAAGCTCTACTGTAACACAGCCATTTCATGGATTTCTCTACCATTTATGTCTTCTCTTAAAATCCTATGGCAGGGTTGAGTAGTTTCAATAGAGTGGCCCACACATTGAAAATATGTGCTGCTCAGATGTTTAGAGAAGGCTTTCCAACACTGTGCTATGATCTAAAGAGAAAACATTTTAGAGGTCAAAACGTACAGAAATGAAAATGAGCATTTAAATATCCCAAGGATTTTCAGGTTTAGATAATTTTTTAAAAAATAAGGCTCCAATTAACATATTTTTTAATTTTATAACTTTTAATTAAAAATTTTAAATTTTATTTTGTTGTTCAAGTACAGTTTTCTGTCTTTTACTCCCATCTCAGCCCACCTACCCAGCCCTCCTCCCTCCCATTTCCACCCCCCCCTAGTTTTTGTCCATGTGTCTTTTATACTTGTTTCTGTAAACCCTTTCCCTTTTCCCCTGAAATTCCCTCCCCTCTCCCCTCTGATCACTGTCAGCCTCTTCTCTATTTCAGTGTTTTTGGTTATATTTTGCTTGTTTATTTGTTTTGTTGTTTAGGTTCCTGTTAAAGGTGAGATCATATGGTATTTGTCCTTCAGCACCTGGCTTATTTCACTTAGCATAATGCTTTCCAGTTCTATCCATGCTGTTGCAAAGGGTAGGAGCTTCTTCTTTCTTTCTGCTGCATAGAATTCCATTGTGTAAATGTACCACAGTTTTTTGATCCATTCATTTACTGATGGGCACTTAGGTTGCCTCCAGCACTTGGCTATTGTAAATTATGTAGGTTGCCTCCAGCACTTGGCTATTGTAAATTGTGTTGCTATGAACATTGGGGTGCATAGGTTCTTTTGGATTGGTGGTTCAGGGTTCTTAGGACATAATCCTAGCAGTGAAATTGCCAGGTCAAAAGGCAGATCCATTTTTAGTTTTCTGAGAAAATCCCATACCGTTTTCTATAGTGGTTGTACCAGTCTGCAATCCCACCAACAGTGAACTAGTGTCCCCTTTTCCCCTCAACCTCTACAACACTTGTTGTTTGTTGCTTTGTTTATGTAAAGCTTTAGTAAAATTACATAATATGAAGAAGCAGGAGAAAGAGAATTCAAATGAGGTCCGCAGTTATTTGGGGACCAAAGACAGCCCAGTGACAAGCTCCCAGTATATTTCTGTGTGTGTGAAGACACGATTCACCTCTGGATGAAGCTGCTGACACAGGGTTTCAGGAGAGCTCGAGCAGAAATTCCCCACAGATCTGGTCACACAGAAATAGGATTTCTAACTCATTATTTCAAGTGTAAGTTATCAATTAAAAATTGGCCCTCGGTTACACTCAATAATTTTGAACTTCAAAGAACTTACCATAAATAGTTCATCATGGCCAAGAGTGAAAAACTGACTCGAGACCAAACTTGGCTGAGCTCCCTCCGGCAGCAACCGTTACGGTTTGATTCTGGTCAAGGCACAGGGCTGGGCTGCAGCCTGGGCCCCGGCTGGGGCGAGTGTGAGAGGCACTGATCAATATGCCTCTAGGATATTGATGCTTCTCTCCCTCTCTTCCCCTCCCTTCTCCTCTCTCTCTGTAAATAAAACCTTCAAAGACGCTGAGTCACAAGCCTATCCTGAAATAAGCAGAGGGCTGTCTCAGGGCAACTGTAAAATAAATCTATTTTTTAAGCAAACTTAGAAGTCACTATAATGGGGGAACTAAAAAGTAATATGCAGTGTTTAAATTTAATAAACTATGAAGTAGCAGTGACAACATATTTTAGGGGTATGTTGGTACAGTAAGCAAATCTCTAAGATGACCAACCAAACTCCCATGCCCTCGTATATACCTGTACAGTCCTCTCCCCTTAAATTTGAGTAGGGTTTATGAATACGGTGTGATTTACATCCCGAATAGTGGCAAAGACTGGGCTGTTTTTAGAGGTAATTAAAGTCCCAAGGGAATTCCGGTCAAGATGTCAGTGTAGGTAAACTTGGCCTCCTCACACAACTGTCTCAGAAACAAGCTGCCCTCCCCACAGTCTTTTGTTCTATGGTTCTTCTTTAACCAGAACTGTGTTAGGAACTGTGGTTCTCAATGCCAGAGTTAGTAAAAAGGAAAACATATTTAATTAAAAGTTATACGGGTTTAAAACAATGGGAGAATTCTGCTGTTAAATCTCACTCCCTTAAGAAATGAACATACACCCATAAACACACAGCCCTGCCGTCCCCCGTTTGCCCAGTCAGACCAGCCTCAGAGCATGCCAATCAGAAATACCACCTTCCAGAAGGGAAAAAAAACAGAGTCCGTAGCTCACTTCTCCTGGTTCCTCCCAGTAATCCATGCTCAACTGGGCAGGTCTCCCGCAGTTCCAAAACCATCAACTGTGTCGCTGTGATCTCCAGTTCTTAATCCAAAACAACATGGCACCCCCATAAGGCCCGCTGACAAGAGTACTTTCACCACTATTGACCTGCATGGTCCCACAAAGGTTCCACATTTTCTCCCGTTGTCCTGATCCCACCCGGCAGCCCACCCTTTTGTTTCAATCCCAGACTGCATCCTCCTCCATAACCCCAGTTTTGACTCCTCCCACAATCGGCTACACTTGCTAACACTCCTGAATTTTCTGCCTTTCTTGGCTGCCATAGATAGTCTGGGGAGGTATGGCCCCATGACATGGAGCAAACCATCTTCAAGCTCTTGTACAGGGACTGTAACATTGGGGGAGCTTCCTCCCAGCTTTATCACAGGTCAGAGTCACACACATCTCCCTGGCTCCACACAGGCAGAGGTTTTAATGTTATTAAAACACTGGCCAAGTTGTTCAGATACCCCCCATTATACAACCACATCAAAATTACAACTAAATTATTAAACAACCATCACTCAGAAGCATCAGAAACTGGGTTGAAGAGAAGTCTGATAACTACAGAATCAAAGAAACTGCAACCATCCATACTGGTAGGAAGGGTGTGGACCCAGAATGTGCTGGTCCCACATCTATGGTGGATAAAAATTCAGGAGACATATCTTGGGAGCAAGGTGTCCCAGCCCCACACCAGGCCTCCCAGCTGAGGGTGCCAGTGGCAGGAAGATAAGTCCCCATAACATGTGACTGCAAAAAAAACTTAAAGAACGTACACATGGACTTATTCAAACTCCCTCTGAGCTCCAACACAGGAGTAGCAGTTTGAAAGGAATCAGTGGCATATAGAGAGGAGCTGAAGTATCTGGCAACAAGGTGGGAGCTGAAGGAGAGCTTTCTCTCAGACATAAATGCAGGCAGAGGCCATTGTCCCTTTACTGAGCTCTTCCTCTACAGCCACAAAGTCGATTGGCAGGTGCCATATCTGACACTCTGTCAAACTGGCTAACACTGTTTGCTCAGCCCTGAAGATCCCCTGAGACTTCCTCCCACACAACTTATTGACCCACCCAAATTGTTAACTGGGACTTTTCCATATAAATAGCTGGTCTTAGCTCATGCTTCAGAACTTCATAAATCCTATCAAAACAACAGCCAGCCTCAGTGAGCTCCCAGGCCTGGCGCTAGCAGCAGCCAGCCTCGATTCACATTTGGCATCACCTGGAATCTCCAAGCCCAGCACAAACAGCAGGCTTCTCAGATTGCTTTATAGCTAAGGCACAGTGGTCCTGGGCAGAACACAGGTGGGGACTGACCTTGTTCTGCACCATCTGGGAAACCCCAGAGCCTGCTATCCAGTGGACAGCTATAGACTGCTTTGAAGCACCACCACCCTGCCCCTGCACAGCTGATCCACCACAGAGGGCAGAGGTTGGTGGCCATTGGTCTTAGCCAATCGTTGTATCTGACTGGCCTGTGTAAGTCCAACCCATTGGTTGGGAACAGCAACCGAGGCTCAAGTATAAGAGGAAAGTATACTCAGCCCATACAAAGGAGGCTCCTCAAATACTCAGCTTGGATGATAGAGGAGGCTCTGCCATTGAACCCTATGGGACACCTACTACATTAGGCCAAGCTACCAAGACAGGGAGTCATAGCAGCTCTACCAAATACATAGAAACCAACACAAGGAGACTGTCAAAATAAGTACATAGAGAAATACGGCCCAAATGAAAGCATATCGAAACTCCAGAAAAGGAACTAAATGAAATGGAGATAAGCAATCTGTCAGATGTAGACTTCAAAAGACTATTTATAAAGATACTCATAACACTTAGTGAGGACCTCAACAGGATAAAAGGGGTCTAGTTGGAAACTATGGGTACAATAATTGAAATAAAGGACAATTTACAGAGAAACAACAGTAGAGTAGGTGAAGCTGAGAATCAAATTAATGATTTGGAACATAAGGAAGAAAATAACAACCAATCTGAATAACAAGAAGAAAAAAGAATTAAAAAATGAGGATAGGATAAGCAGCTTCTGGGACAAGTTCAAATGATTAGAGTGTTAGCCCAATATGCCAAAGTTGTGGGTTTGATCTCTAATCAGGGCACATGAGAGTGAACAAATGGCCCTGGCTGGTGTAGCTCAGTGGATTGAGCACAGACCTCCAAACCAAAGGTTGCCAGTTCGATTCCCAATCAGGGCACATGCCTGGGTTGTGGGCCAGGTACGCAGTGGGGGATGCATGACAGGCAAACACACATTGATGTTTCTCTCCTTTTAAATAAAAAAAAATGAACAAATGAATGCATAAGTGGGTGGAATAACAGATTGATCTCTCTCTTTCTTTCATCTATAAATAAAACATTTAAAATTTTTAAATCAACTTTGGGTTTTCAATTATTATGATTTAATTAAAATGTTTTTTAGTAAACAAATAGAGATGTCAATATAAATATCTTAAGGCGTACGTCCAACAATTTTTTTAAAAAATAAATTGGCTTCTGAAGTCTTTGAGGCTGGGGAAAATCCCATTCGGGTCAGGACAGCGGATCTTACTGCGTCCCCACTCTTCTTTGACATACTCAGAAACCCCTCAATAAAATGGGCTGCTCCTTCTCCTTCTGTCCCTTGTCCCCCTAAAATGGAATTGTTCGGTTTTGACAAACTTTAGAAAAGGGTTTTAGGGTTGATTAGTGATTACGATTCTTAATGCATATGTGACTTTTTTACTGACTGATAAGCATATGGCAAGAAAGGCCTGTGGAGTAAAGAAATAGATATGGTAAATGTGTGTGGTTAGGGCTCAGATCCTTCACAAAATACAAGCACAGTCACATAGAAAAACATATTTGGCAAAAGACTTCTGATTGTCCTACAGAAATCAGGAGCAGCAAGACGCAAATCTGTTCTCCTGTGAAGTCGGATGATAAATACAAGGAAATTGTCATATAGCACTTTCAGCTCCAAATTGACACATATAGATGTATAGATAGCCAATAAGAACTAACTTCTAGACAAACAAAAACGAGATGGGAATTCCCAATTTAGTATGCCACACAAATCTGAAATGATCTTAATATATATTTTTGATGTGAATTGTTTTATTTAAATTACTGCAAAAAATTTAAAATATGCATGAAAATATATTACATTTAATACTGAACATGTACACTAAATCAAAATATTCATGAAATTCTTTATATTGATGTTTTACAACTGCTGATGTAAGTGCACAAATTTTATCAGTTGTAAAATACATGGTTTCAAATATATCAATATTTTTTATAAGATAACATGAAACATTTTATGGATAAGAGGTAAACTTACCCTTTTAGTAATACTGGACCTCATTGCCCACCCCTTCTGGCCTAAGCAACACCTATATGAGCTGTTGTTGACAGATATAATAGTTTTGTTTTGTGCAGGGTTCATCCAAAACATTTCCAGATGGGCTATAAACTATGCAGTTCCTTGTATTTGAAAATTTAGTGACTGGAAGTCTGTAATGAAAAATAACATGTTATCATATCAGAAAAGGAAATGAGAATGTTGAGGGATGGTGTTTTTTTATTAAATAACACAATTTTTAAAGCATTTGAATGACGTATTCACATATTGAGTCATGGTAGTTTTTCTTTCAATAGCCACAGTTTTCATGATTTCAAATACAACAGCACAAAAACTCATTTATTGCCTCAATAATGAATAGCTTTGAGGCCATAAGTGTTTAAATTCTGTATTGTTATTATTGAGTTTTATAAATGATAAACTTTGCTTCTATTTTATTTAAAGATGCATTGACTAATTTAGTCTAGGAAAACAAATCAGAGCATAAGATTTGTCACGGATGATGCTGCAAATGCATGTTAATGAATAAAAATGAGATTTTAAGATTACTGGTGTGCAAAAATGAGCCCAGCATATTTAAAGCATGAAGAGATGCTTAGAATATTGGGCTTCACTAAAATAAAGAAAATGATGGCTACCCTGGTTTCCCTGGATACCATCTGCATTTGTGAACATCTTTCTACATGTACCACACAGCCAAGGGCTTGTACAAAGTTAAAAAAAAACACTATATATCAAAACTTCTTCAATGGTCGCAAGTATACTAACTTGTATCACTTGAGCATATACACATGGATGTTCTAGATAGAGCTAAAATTGTCACTCACTTGTATTATACTCTCTTCTGTATTCACATGCTTTAGATAGGTTATCATAGCTACAGCGTTCCTGTAAGTTACATTCTCTAGTCACATCTAAGAACAAACTCATACAGAATGGAAAAAATCTTGATTTCCAGAAACTTACTGGTCTGGGATGAGAGCAGAGCCATTTTCCCACAACCAGGCATCACGTTCTTTGCTGTAAGAGAGTCCAATCCAGTAAAAATGTGTATTGGATCTCATGAAGCGCTGCTTAGAAACAGAGACAAACATTTACTTAATTTGAGTCTATTCTTTGAATAACGCAGTCTGTGTCCAGCATAAGAGTCAACCTTGAAATTACTCAAACTGAAATAATTTTTAAGCTCTAGTTAGGAGGTATAGTCACATGCTTCAAATTTGTCATTTATCAAATCCATTCATTTATGGAGACAAAGATCTTACTTCCTGTGGGAATGAATGATGTAAAGGGAGTTACGGTTTTCCTGTAACACTTTCTTCATACCATCTCAACAATCCCATCTGGTCCCAAATCAGCAGTATCTTGAGGAATAAATTTCACAGATCTAACCTATTCATCCTGTACTAAGCACAGTTTCTTCATGCAGCTAGAGAAGTTTTTTACTTTTTCATAAGAGGTAGGTAATTTTGTGATCATATTATCCATATTTAGGTCACATGATATCCTAGTATGTTGACAACTGCTATATAACTGCAAAATAAATTATAAATTTAATTATAGAAATAAAAATTATAAACTTGTTTACTTATATCTTTGAATAAAAATAATGACTCATTATTCCTTACTTGATTTCCCTCTAACAAGTCTCTTATATTTTATATGGCACCTCTCTGGATTTTTACTCATAATATAAATCTTTAAGAAATTCTATGTAGATTCTATAATTGGTTGTTTCAAGGTTTAGGAAATCAGTAAGCTATTAGTTCAAATATAACAATCCAGTTACTCTGTGATTAAAGACTTGATTCAAAGAATTCAGTTCACTTAAATGGTATATTTTCTTAAGTCAAAGAAAATGAGAATTAAATACTTGCCAATTCATTTCCATTGTGCAACTGAAGCAGAGTAGAATTTTGAGAAGCACAGGATTTCTTGCTCTCTGCCCAAGGTTTAGAATCACTAGAAATGAAATAACAGTTGCATTGGTATCCAATCCACTTTTCTTGGCAAGAACAGCAGCCAGAGTCTAAGAGAAAACATAAAGTATGTTTGATAGCATTGTATATTTGATATAATCAATGTTATTTACTCATTCAAAAGTTATTTGCTATTGATTCTTTTTAAACAAATATTGTTTAAAAATCTAATAATATACTATAATTCAGGGATAATAATGTGACCAGGTCAGACTTGAACTTTTTTTCATGGGAATTATCTATCCTGAAGATAGAGTCAGAATTATACGATTTCTAATCATGCATTAGTAATACATAATGCTAACTTGGGAAAATACACACAGAAATTCAATATGTTAAAACATTGTGAGCAGAGTATAGGATGGGAGCATTTAGAAGAATTCTTTTGAGAAAGTGACCCAAAGTTGAGTCACTTTGGGTGTAAATAGGAGTAGATTAAATGAAAGGGATATTTAAGGGAGAAAGGTATCTTGGCATATTTCCTGAGTCAGAAAGAATATGGTACATTGGGGTAATTCTGATATATGTTTGATTATTTATTTTCTAAATGAAGTTCAGTAAAACAATTGGATCATTTAGTTTAAGGAGCAATAGCATCTTGAATATGTATTATCCTAAGTGATAAAAGTCAGAATACATGTATGAATACATGGTATTCATATCTTTGCCAAATGAAGTTGTAGCAAAGAATGGTATTTACAGGGCCTGGGAGGTGAGGGCAAAGGCGGAGGTGTTGACTGAAGGTTGAAGTCCTCCAGTTAGAAAATGAATAAATTCGGATCATCTACTGCAGAGTACTGGGTTGATAGTTAGCAATGTTTTATTCTATACCTGTAATTTGCTAAAAGAGTAGATTTCAGTGTTTTCACCATAAAAGAAAATTTAAAAAATAATTATGTGAGGTGCTGGAATAGATAGCTAATATTCTAATCATAATCATATCACAAAATATTTCAACACACCAAACACTTTAAATTGTGAATTGTTATATGCCAATTATATCTCAATACAGCTAGAAAAATGCAAACAAGATATAAATGGATTGCTATATAATCACAGAAGATGGGGAAACAACTTTGAGAGTGAAAAAAAACACTAAAAAATTGGACTTTAAACTGGCCTAACCTGATAAATTTCTGCACTATATTCTTATTCATGAAAGAAAAAGAAGTAAAGGTAAAGAGATATAAAAGTATATCACAAGGAAACAAAGGCAGATCATTAGGATGGCTATCGTGTGTACTCTAATATCTTTTTGATTTGTTACTTAAACATGAGTACTGTTGCAAGAAAAATATGACATTTCAGGTTAACATGTTCTTTATAATTAAATATATCAATGATATGCATTCATGGTAATTTAAAAATTCTTATATTAGAGAACAATGACATGAGACTATTCTAAAATTAGTAGGTAAACTTGGATTACCACACGTAATGTTCCATTATGCTGCTGTGTGGGAAAAATAAGAAAACTTTTTCACCCTCTGCCAACACAAAGGTTTTCCAAAGTATGAAACTCACCTTTCTGGGGTGCAGGGGTGGGTCCTGAAGATGCTGTTGGCTGGTTATCTGGTTCAATAAATGCTATGAGAAATAATTAGAAATGTACTTAGTTAGATACAGGTTTCTGAAATAACACAATGTTACACCTTAGTAAAATGAAGCCTTTCACATTGAATGGGTTCATCACAGTTTTTATCTTTATATAAACTTGCCTAGAAAAACTTACTGTTTTTCATCAAAATTCCCAAAATAGCCATCAACACAAGGGCTGTTACTCCTAACATCCCAGAAATCAACCTCCACAGAGTGGTCTGAGAAGCTGTAGAGAGAAAGAGGCAGAGACATGAGTTAAATAACAAACACAGGAGCTGCAGAAACCAGGGAAGAAAATTTTAAAAATTTCTTTGGCTTCACAACACAACCATCTTGCCAATGAAACATTGGAAATTGAAGGCATGTCCCACTCCACCCACTACTAAAATTTTAAGGTATACATTATTCTTCCAAGAAAATATCCATAACTTTTGCTCTTTACTAGCTCTGTCTCAGAAAGGTGGATTTGACAATTTTTTTTGTTAAATTTGGCAAATGAGCACAGAGATCTGGACTAAGACGGTATTAATAGTGACCAAGTTCTGTGTTAGGACTTGCATAACAGATATTACTTTTATTTTCCCAGGAAAAATGAAAGATGGTCATCTAACTCTCAGTAGGCAGACGAGAAAATTTAGAAGCCATTAATAATGTTATTTTCTCAAGTATCAAAACTAGTGAATACCCAAGTCTGAAATCAAATGAAAATTTGCCTTGGACCAGTCTTTAACACATTCTATCGTCGTCACAATAATACTCCTTGAGATGTGCTCGCCTGCTAATCTCAATGCATTTGCTCTTTGGAGAAAGATCAGGGTCTCCTGGATCTGTAGAGGTTTTCCAGGGATGAGAAGACATAGGAGCATCTGAACCTGGTGTGAGGAGAGGTTCCCCAACCACTCCATGGGCAATACCGTGGGGACTTAGATTCACTCCACAGTATATTATCCATCATACAAGCAACTATTTCTTGTACAAGCACATTACATTTCCTATACCCATAGTTATTTGTTTATAGTCATTTCCCCCAAATAATCTAACATCAGGAAATTCCACATGAACTTTAGCACACTCCCAAAGAGTGTTGACATTAACAACAGTCCAGTGCGTCAAACTGTTAATCTGGGTGGGTTTGGGATGTGACAACATAAATGTTAAATTTCTAAATAGCACTTGTCAGCATTGTGTCATTAGTATTTGCCATTCTCTATTTCCTCTGTGTTAGAATTAAGTTGCTCATAATTAACCAGGTAAACTCCAATCCCACTACTGATTTAGAGGTATCCTTGTTATTTCTGTTTTTATTTTATGACGGGATTTCACATACCTGCCATGAGAAATGTTGTTCCAGTATCCGTCAGGTTGTTTGCTTGTTCAAGAAGAACGTTGTCAGATCACAGGATTGAGCAAGAGGCTAGGAATCTGAGAGTTGAGTGTGTATTTAAGTGATGTTCTTGAATCATCTATTGGTGAGACCCAGATGTATAGTATGAATAGGAGGTAGAAAGTCACTAGCTTTGAAAATGTCCCTGGAACCACAATACAGGAAATAGTCACTTGTGTAATTGTACTTGTGTAAAGCAAACACTCTGACTATCATAAAAAAGAGCTGAAAGGAAGCATTTTTTTATGTTTGAAAATCAAAATCATCTTAAAAATTATTAGAACATAGGGAAAAAAGGTGGTCAACCCAAACTTAAATTTACTTACTATAATGAAATTTCTTACAGAATTTTTCTTCTTTAATGATGAGAAACATTTATAACTGACTTGTGCTGTTCACAAATTAAAGCACTTGGCACATATTAGCTTATTTATTTCAAAAATGGCTTAAAATGAAGATATGCAAATATATGCATTTTTCCAGAGAAAAAACTAAGTCAGAGCTAACTACTTGACCAAAGACAGTAAGTGTGAGGCCCAAGACTTTCTCCAAAACACACATGCAATGTATTTCAAATCAGGCTTATTCCTCTGGGTCTCTGCCTTGTAATTCTGATTTCTTTTCTCTAGCAGAGAGTGGTTGGTATTTCCATCTCTCATTGTATGCTTCTGATCCCTGCCTCATTCACTCAGCTATGGAAGGGGAATATCAAAAATGTAGAATCAGAGCGACTTCCCATTCTGTTCCATGCACACACAGAGACACGCACACGCACCCTGTGCTCTAAAACTGCTTCTGCTGGTCTCTGCCCACAGCAGAGCGCCCATTCCCATGAGCCTTAAAAGCTTCCAGCACTGATTCCTCCAGAGCACCTTTCCTTGCCAGTCTTTGAACGTGATGTCAGTTGCTGTATTATCTCTATTTTTACTAGCATATTAATCATTACATTTTTACTGTGTTATCTCATTTAGATAATATACTGATAGTTAAATTTACACTTTTTTTGTTCTCAGAGGAATAATCTTATTAGTAGGGAATTAAAATGTAGGACAGATAATTAGAATAAAATCCTTAAGAGTAAGTACTTTGATCTCTGCTGATGAAGTAGGTAAGTATCTGGAAATACAATCTACCAGTCATCCACCTATAAAGCAGACTCTCAAGTAAGTTTTTCTTCTTTATATGATTTATGTTTAAGCATTGTGATATTACCATCAATGAACTTCTTCGTTGAAGACAGTCTTTTCAACCAAAAAAAGAGGAAAAACAAAAACAGAAAACAAGGAATGTGATTTTATTTTTCAGTTTCCATGAAGTTAAAATTTTTCTATCTTTTTATGCAGAGTGTGCATAGATGCTTTAATTCAACCACCAAAATTGATGGAATTTCCATTGTAACCAGATAATGTAGACCAAAAAAAGCATTCATCCAGACTTTAAGCAAACCCGTGTTGAAAAGGGTGAAGTATCGATGATCCTGTGCCCACTTGGAGTCTATTCATTTTTAGCTCTAATTTTGGACAAAGATGAACTAGAAAAAATTGCTTTCAGTTTTTTGCTTTTCTTGCTGCATGAAAAGTCCCCTCAGGTAAATAGAAGTTTAAGATTTTGTTTTCAAATTTAGTCTTGAGATCATACAGATTTGGGACCGAATATCTAGTAGGTGTTATTCCTATACTTCCCACATTCACAAGATGACCTTCATTTGGAAGCTGTTCTAAGTTTTCAGATCCATGTTTGGTGAGATTTACCTAAAACACTGTCTTCTTTTTTCACCTTAGTTCACTTAATTAGAAATAAATGTTCATCAAAGTTGTGTTCAAGGATCGTAGGTTCAACTCATAAAAACAGATGAACACACACACCTAATGCACTCACACAAAAGATGTATATAAAAATGCTCCCTTTCATTCTTTCTGAATTAAGCCAGCCCTGGTTTACTCTTTGATTCCTTCTTGTACATGGTTAGTTGAACTGATCTTGTGCCAGGGCCCCTATCACTTATCTACATGTGGAGCAGTGGCTCTTATTGCCCCACCGACATCCCTCGCTATATTTGTGAGCTCTGGCCAACCAGTACCAGCATCTGCAGACTTTTTTCTCCTAGAACTGCTGAAAGCCCTCCTGATCTCACACATGGCTGTCAGAAGTAATGAGGAATTATCACCTGGATGGGCTTTAACCAGTGAGCCTCAGGATTTGGGGTAGCCAAGCACTGTCAGCCCTCGAAAAGGCAATTCTGAACACTAAGGTTTGTCCCATTTCCCAAAATCACTCAACAGTGTTAACTTCTAATTTCCTCTTCTGGTAGCTACACTCAAGAGATCAACCTTTATTGTGTTCTGCCTGCCCTCCCCTGGATTAACACCCTTTCTGACCTTTATTCCAGGCTCATCCAAAATAACTTTGCACTCAAAACCAAACTCAAGGTCTGATGCAGATAGAACCCAGACTGAAATGGTGCTGCAATGTTCAGATTTAGTTACATGTGTGTTTTTGAGAAGTTAGATATCCTTTCAGAAGACACATCTCTGTTTGCAGGAAATCCTCTTCCCCCATGGCCATTGGAGGCGACCACAGTTTTTCTCCACAGTAATTTACCATTGCCCTTTGTGCAAAGCAAGTAATGATTCTAATAACTGCATCATTCCAGACAAAGAAGGAGCTAGGGAATATAAACTAATGGCCCCTTAAAATATGAACAGTGAGGTCTTTTCTCTGTCTAGCAATTTCTAACTAAAATATTACAGAACATAGTAATAGTATATATGCTAATATACCCAAGTGGTAAATTTATTTTGATCTCACTGATTTGAAAATGCATGCATTCCCTAAATGAAAAGAAAATGGTTAGCATCGGGGTGCAACTTATTTTCCTAATGAGGGAGAGGGAAGACTCTGAAAAAGAAAAAAGAAAACGAGAAGGATTCTGGACTGACAAATTCTTCTGTAAACATGTTACTAACAAAACTGCTAGCAAACACTGGTGGGTTCTGCTTGTCAAAATCTTTACCTATTGAATATTTTAGCAGGATGTATTAGAGTATCTAAAACTATTTGTGGCTAAAACAAAAGATAGTACTAGAATCTGTGGGTTGATAGAGTACAACTTCCTGGAAAATGTCACATCTGAGTTTAAAATAGAGATATACAATGGCCAAAGCACCACCTTTTATGTGTGCGATGCAGTCACAACCTCCCACTGGAGAGCTCCTTTGTTATTCTTTGGGTCTGGACCACAGTGTGTCCTAAGGTGGACAGAAGGACCTGGGCATCTGCACTGCAGGCCTGGATATCTCACTGCTTTGTCTGTACTTCACAAGCATTGTACCACTAAATTACCAGCCAAGGTGGATACTGAGTAAAGTCTCTAAGAATGTTTGTGAGTCTGATTTAACAGCCCAATCCCTCGTGTTACCATCTCGATGAATTGGTAACTTCTGTTCCCATAGGTCATGAGAAACATCATGCATGCTCTTGGCATGCATGATGGTAGAGTTCACATGCAGCAGAGTTATTGTGGTCCTTCTCATGTCCCTGGGAACTTCCATTGTGCCAGGCATATTTCTGCACCCTTATGCCTGGAGCCTTCTGGATCTTCTCCCTCCAGATCTGCTAAAAGCTTAGCTGCCCTCACATCCGTGAATCTCCAGATCTGATGTATAATTATCACAGCTACTTTTGCCCCTCTAATATTCAGAGACTCTCTAGGGATACGTGTTGGAAAAAGGAAATGTTGGGGGGGGGATGCGTTTCTTTTTTTCTAAGACTTTAAAAAGTTTTTCTGACATGGAGGAAGGAGATGAAGCTAATAGTGAAATGGTGAAATGGTGGAGGATGGTGGAAGGTGAAAAGGAGAGGTCCGAGTGGCAGGCCTGATGCTGCTGATAAAAAAACACGCTGTGAGAAAAAGGGATGCATTGGGTGAGCCTCAGGTAGCACTCAGATCAACATGTCTCTTCATTGGTATCTCGGATCATGAGGGGAAGTGAGGAAACTTCTGAAAAAACTCATCCGAGAGTGTTGTATACTTCCTGCTGTGAAGGCACATTCTAGCCATTCCTGCCATTAGCTGGAGATGATTTTCCTTAAGAAGAGACACTATCCATTGTGTTTAACACACTCAGACAACATTGTTTCCTGCAATATTCAATAATCTTTGTAAGCATTCAGGAAAACATAGTGATAATAATAATTAGTAAACTAAAAACAAGCTGGAACCCTGTAATTAGATAGAAAAGACTATTTCTGAACCTTGGTTTGGTTAGAAAATGAAATTCAAGATTTATCCTTGGTTGAAAAATAATAAAACCCCTCTCTATTCTTTTCCAAAGAGGGCTGATAAAAGTAGAAAACCCAGAATGAGAATCGGTTGTCTTTTGGAACCAACCAGGGCAACAACAGATAGAAGAAAGAACTGTTGATTTTCAGGGTAAGTGTTTCTGTGTTATAGTTTTTTTAAAGCATATGCATGTTTTCCTTTGGCAAAAGGCAATTATGCATATAGACAATTATGCAAAAGTAAAAATTAAATGCTCAAGAATTTTTTAACTACAAAAATTGTATAAGCTTTTATTTTTCTAATTTTATTTAGTTATTTTTCAAGTACAGTTTTCTATTTCTCCCATCCCAGCCCACCCCACCCCATGCTCCCCACCTCCCTCCCATTTCCACCCCCCTTAGTTCTTGTCCTTGTGTCCTTCATACTTGTTCCTCCAATTCCCTTCCCTTTTTGCCCTTAAATTCCCTTCCCTCTCCCCTCTGGTCACTGTCCCCTTGTTCTCTATTTCAGTGTCTTTGTTTTTATTCTGCTGGCTTGTTTGTTTTGTTGTTTAGCTTCCTGTTAAAGGCGAGACCATATGGTATTATGATTTATAACTTACTTTAGACTTCAAATGTGTTGATATACTATTTTATATTCTGCATCTATTACCATATTTCTTGATTACATTCCTCATATATCTCACTTTACTCAAGAGTAAAATGATTTTGGTTGGATGGTCACATTGTCCTTATACTTTAAAATATAAATGAAGGGGTTTGTTACTCTGCCCTGGCCCACAACAAGATGAAATGGTGAAATCAAGTGGTATTTACCTCAATTGTATGTTCAGTGTTTAAAATTTACCATTAAACGCA